CACTTTATATATCTGGATGTTCCAGTTTTGAGTGCATAAATATTTAGAATTGCTGTATCTATTGCCGGATTGTCCCCATTATCATTATATAATGATGTTCTTTGTCTCTTTCTACAGTTTTTGTGTTGAAATCTATTTTATCCGATATGTATTGCTACTCCTGCTCTTTTGTAGTTTCCATTTACATGGAATATCTTTTTTCCATCCCTTTATTTTCAGTCTATGTGTGTCTTTATAAGTGAAATAGGTTTCTCATAGAGAACACATGATTGAATCCTTTTTTTTTTTTTTTTTATCCATTCAGCCACTGTATTGTAGAGTTTAGTCCATTCACATTCAGTGGTATTATTGATAGGTAAGGACTTACTACTGCCATGTCGTTATCTGCTTTCTGCTTGTTTAGTGGTCCTCTCTTTCTTCTTTCCTTCCTGTCTTCCTTTGTTAAAGGTGCTTTTCTCTGGTGGTGTGTTTTAATTTCTTTTTATTTTTCATGTGTCTGTTGTAGGTTTTTTGCTTTTAGGTTACAATAAGGCTTGCAAAAAACATTTCATTACCAATAATTTTAAGCACATGACAACTGTGCTTATAAACACACAAACAAATAAACAAGTAAAGATAAATCTAAAAGAAAGTCTACACTTTAACTCCATCCCCCCCTTTAACTTTTTGTTGTTTCCATGTATATCTTTTTATACTATCTATCTTTTAAAAAGTTGCTTTAGTCATTTGGTAGGTTAGTCTTTTAGTTTTCCTACTGAAAATATAAGTGGTTTATATACAACCATTACAGCAATAGAATATTCTGTATTTGTGCACTTACTGTTACCAGCAAGTTTTATAATCTTCAGATGATTTTTTGCTGTTCATTACCATCCTTTTTTTTATATACTGAGGAACTCCTTTTAGCATTTTTTGTAGGATAGGTGTGGTACTGATGAAATCCCTCAGCTTTTGTTCATCTTGGAAAGTCTTTATTTCTCCTTCATGTTTGAAGGATATTTTTGCAGGATATAATATTCTAGGGTTAAGGCTGTTTTCCTTCAGGCCTTTGAATATGTCATGCTACTCTCTCCTGGCCTATAAGATTTCCGCTGAGAAGTCTGCTGCCAGACATATTGGAGCTCCGTTATATGTTATTTTTTTTTCTTAATTCCCTTAGGGCCTTTTCTTTATTTGTGACCTTTGGGAGCTTGATTATTAAATGCTTGAGGTAGTCTTGTTTGGATTAAATCTACTTGTTGTTCTATGACCTTTTTGTACCTAAATATTGATATCTTTCTCTAGGTTTAGAAATTTTCTATTATTTCTTTGAATCAACTTGATACCCCAACCTCTCTCTCTACCTTTTCTTTAAGGCTAATATCTCTTACATTTGCCCTTTTGAGGCTATTTTCTAGATCCTGTAAATGTGCTTCATTCTTTTTCAGTCTTTTTTCTTTTTTTCTTCTGACTGTATCTTCAAATAGCTTGTCTTCAAGCTCACTAATTCTTTCTTCTGCTTCATTAGTTGTGCTGTTGAGAGACTCTGATGCATTTCTCAGTTTGTCATTTGAGTTTTTCAGCTCCAGAATTTCTACTTGACTTTTTTTATTATGTCAATATCTTTGTTACATTTCTCTGATAGGCCTCTGAATTCCTTTTCTCTGTTGTCTTCAAGTTCACTGGGCTTCGTCAGGACTGCTGTTTTGTATGTTTTGTCTGAAAGGTCACATATCTCCATCACTCCAGAATTGGTGACTGGTACCTTATTTAGTTTGTTTCATGAGGTCATGTTTTTCCTGTATGTTCTTGATGCTTGTGGGTGTTGGTCGATTTGTGGGCATTGGAGGGTTAGGTATTTATTTTCCTGCAGTCTGGGCTTGTTTCAACCTGTCTTCCTTGAGAAGGCTTTCCAGATACTCAAAGGGAATTGAGTGTTGTGATCTAAGTCTTTGGTCACTATAGCCATATCAATACTGGGGGTGCCCCAAGCCCAATAATGCTGTGACTCTTGTAGGCTCCTGGTGGTCCTGCCTTGGTAGACTTTGTTTAGATACAGGATAATTCCGTGGATTACCAGGCAAAGTCTCTAACTCTCTTCCCTCACTCTCTGTGCTGGGCTGGTGAAGTTGGGGGAGGAGAGATGTGGGCACTTCCTCATGGCCACTGCAGCTGGGACTATGCCATGTCACACCAGAACTCAGCCCAGTCTTACCCAAAGCCCATGGCTACTTCTGATGTTTATTCACAGCCCAAGTGCTTCTTTATTCACCAGATGGTAAATCTTGCCAGGACTGTGTCCTTCCCTTCAGGGTAGCATCTTTACTTTTGGCCCAGCGTGGGTCTAGAAATGCTATCCAGGAACTATTGCCTGGAATCAGAGGCTTCAGGAGTCTATTTGGTACTTAAATGTTGCTGAGCTGGTACCCAGATTTCAAAACAAAGTCCTCTGAATTTGTCCTTTTCTTTTCCCCATGTGGAAAAGACTGTCCCTGAGCTGCACTGCCAGGAGTTGGGGGAGGTGTGATGCAGGCACTGGCTTAGCCACCACCACCGGTGTCTCACAGGGTCACGTGAACCCCAGGCCTACTGGCTCCTCGCAAGCACAGCCACAGGAATTGACCAAGGACTACAATCTTTATGGCCAGACTTCCTTACAAATTTATTTATTTTAGGGTGCAGACTGTTTTTTGTCACCTCGTTGGTTTCAGGGCTGAGGATTTCCCTCTGGCTGGGCTGATCTAAATGCTCCCTCCATGGGTGCCAGCAGTATTCTGCCCTGTGCTGTGTTCCCCTGTGACAGAGTGGATCTGAGATCCAGTCCAAATTCCCATAATCACTTCACTCTTCCTCCCCTGGGACATACAGATTTTTTTCTCCATTCCGTGTGCTGGTGCAGCACTGCTGGGGGATGGGGGATAGGGGAGGGAGCGGGAGGGGTGATGTAGGCAATATAAGAGTCTTTTCTGCCTTCTTCAGTGCCTCTTTCCTTGATGTAATGTTAAAGCCAGGTACTGTGATCGCTCATCTGATTTTTGGTTCTTCTGAAGGTGCTTCCTTGCATGGATATTTGTTGAATTTGGTGTTTATGCGGAGGGATATTGCTGGAGGTTTCTATTCAGCCATCTTGTTCCCCATGATTTCTTTCTCTGCTTGTTTTTTGCACATAGAAACGCATCTGATCCTTGTATGTTGATTTGTATCCTGGAACTTTATTGAATCAGTTCTAAGAGTTTTTTGGTATCATATTTAGTTTTTTTTTAAATAATATAAGATCATGTTTTCTGCCAAGAGGGACAATTTGAGTTGCTGTTTTCTAGTTTGGATACCTTTTATTACTTTTTTTTGCTTGATTGCTCTGGGTAGGTCTTCCAGTACTGTGTCGAATAGAAGTGGTGAAAGTGGGCATTCTTGTCTTGTTCCAGTTCTTGGAAGAAAGCTTTTCAGCTTTTCCCCATTCTGTATGGCTAGGACTGTAGGAGTCCTCAGTGGAAATGTGGACTGCGGGGGATCTCTCACCCTTGTTCCGCACTGGGGAGACTCTCTGGGCCCCTAACTGATCCTGGCAAGACTGAGCACCTTGCTTCCTTCTTTTTTCGTGCCTGAGGTGTTTCCTGTCACTTCTCTGGTGAATTTCAGTGTTCTCCCTCAGATGCTCCGTTTGATGTGTCATTATCTATTTACTGTTTTGATCCTACTTTGTGGAGGGGGTGAGTGCCAGGTACCTTTAGTCAGTCATCTTGAAGCCTCCCCCTACTTTCTTAAATATAATCATTTTTATTATTGAAACTTATTATTTTTATTCTTAGAGAATGATTATTTGTGTGTGTATTAAACTTTCAAATAGTGTGGAATAGGTGACAATATTAAGTAGTGACATAACCTTATTGTATTTCGATATTATCTGTCGAAATGTTTTCTTTTGAATGTTAATTTGCTTTATTATTATTATGAAATAATATATTTCTTTAAAAAGTTATTATATATATTGACACAGTCCTCATTCACGGGAACTAATCTTCTAACAAAAATACATTTCCCAGACAACCATCTGGGGAAATGACTCATCCAAGAGCATAATTACTGTGATATCTTACAGTGGGTATATTAGTAAGTTGGTTTGACAAGAATGATGGTTAAATCAGTTTTAATGGTTAAGCATATACCTATGTTTTGCTCATAAGAGTAAATACATATGAACGGTTTTAGAATATAGTTATTTTTAATTAGGGGCAACCCACCAAAATACAGGATCCAGAAGCTGTTGGCCCAGTTATCTGCGTGTATAAATGTAATGACGTGTTTGCTAATTTAGCATATAGCATAATGGTACTTTCATATCACAAAACATCATGATGTACTGGAAAATGCACACTTCTAATGTTGGGTTACAGTGTAGTAGTTAAGAGCACCACTTTCTGGAGCTAGACTGTGTGGGTTGAAATCCTAGCTCTATCATTTACCAGTTAGGTAGCCACTTAAGCTTTCTAGGGTTGTTTCCTTATCTTTATCATGGAGATGATAATAGGTCCTGCATCAAAGGGTTATTGTGAGGATGAGATGAGTAAATATATGTAAATCACTTAAAACAGTACCTGACACATAGTAGGAGGTTTGTGTCAGCTATCATTATGGTTTTTGCCGTCAACCTAATCAGTGAACTTGGGTAATTCGCTTTTCTAAGTCTCAGTTTCCCTGTTTTCGAAAATCCAGGAGCAAGAACAACATATGTGAGTTGGGAGAGGGATTTACTAAATTATTTTTAAAACTCCTTCCAGTTGAAGAATTTTAAAACTCTAATTTGCTATATAGCCTATTGCTATCATGTACCTTTTCTGCCCACCAATAGAATTCTGAGAGTTTCCCAAGTAATATTTACTTTATAAGTATTATTTAGATAGATCCTAAAATTGACTTAGCGGATAGATGAATAAAGATTCAACCTTGCTGAAAGTGAATTCTTGGAAAATTTAAATATGAAGTAATAATTCAGAAACTTATCTTTGTTATTTTTGTTTCAGATTGAGCCCAAAGAATTATCTGAGAACTGTTTCTGGTTAAAGGTTAAAGAAGACAAGTTTGAGAATCCAGATCTCTTTGCAAAGTTGGCATTGAATTTTGCTACCCAGATAAAAGGTACATTTTACTTTTTAAAATATAAATTCTTGATTTTGATATATTAGAATTCAGTTCTTTGCTAAAAATTTCTAATAATATATACACATACATACTTTTTCCACACCAGACAGGGTACTTAAAGTATAATTTACTTATTTGATAATAGAGTCCCTTGTTTATCATTGTGGTCCATGAATTTTTGGTATTTTATTTTAATATGACTATTTCGCTAATTATTGCAGAAGTGATAGTTCAATTAAGCATAGAATTTTTTCTTTTTGAATGAGTCTTTACAACTAAGATATGGAAATATTCTATGCTCTCATGCAATTTGAATTAGCACCTTTACCATTCATTTGTCTGATTTATCACAACGTGCCCCAGAATGTGAGAATGTGAATTTTGGAAGATTCAGAGAAAGTGAGAGAGACAAGTAAAAATTATTTCTTTTCAGCTCTTCTATTATATGTTGCATATTGGAGTTGCTTGTGCTGTATTTATTGTTCCTTGTGGGTTGAAGTGAACACACACACTGAAATCCGGGATGATTATTCTGAAGAATTTTGACATTTTTCAAAAATTCCTACCAATTAGGTCTACTTTCTTTGTTCTTATTCGACATAGTAGACATCACATTTAAAGGGTTCTTCAATGACTTGAGAGGTTATCATTAATTATAATCACTTTTTAAAGTTGAAAAATTGCTTAAAGCTAAGTATTCATGCTTATTGCAAAGTATTCATATAGTTTAAAAAAATATGGTTTAAAAGAAGTAAATCTCCCTTCAATCTCAAACTTACAGCTTTTTCCACA